TAAATATTAGTTGACTTGGCCGGGATTTGAACATAGGACCTTAGCAATGGGAATCCTTTGCTCTAACCGCTACACTATAGCCTCTGTACTTTAAGCCTAGATGTGTTGTAGAGGTAAAATGGTGTCAATGGTGCAACGAAATTCGTCCAATAACGAATTTCGGGAAATCGGGAATTTCGGATTCGTTTGCATTCGTCTTAGCTGTAATTCGGAATTCGGATGCATCCGAATCTCCGAATTTCCGAAAATTCGTTCAAAACGAATTTCGGAACGAACCGAATCGCACATGTCTAGGCGACACGACCCCCACCCTGCAGACACCTCATTCCCCTCACATAGATCCTTAGCAGCATTCTTTAATGCACCAGTCCCTCGTCAAGCTGGGCAGACACCTCTCTCCGAGATCTGCCGTCTCCTGTGTGCACAGCGCCAGCGTGATCGGCCCTCAGCCTGCTACTGCGCATGCACAAGATTTCTGAATGAGAGCGCTGGGCAGTCTGCGCATGCACAGTAGCAGGCTGAAGGCCGATCACATGGGCGCTGTACACACAAGAAACGTGGGCAGATCCTGGAGAGCTGAATATATATATATATATATATACATACACATAGTACATCACTGCAGTACATGCACATTTCCCCATGTTCTGCCTCTTGCAAGTCAATGGTGTAACTATAGCTTTGGCAGTCCATGCAACTGCTAATGGGCCTGGGGATGGGAGGGGCTAAAATAGAAAAGTTGTTGGGGCAAAGTCTGCAGTCTAGAAGGTATCAGGTTCATTGCTAGTCACAGACCCCTTTTGCTTAATATGTGAAATTTCAGAACAATTTGTTTAGCTGTCTCAGCAGTGAAGATTTTTTGCCCTCAAAGCTTCTATAACAGATCAGACCAGACACTCTAAAATGAACCTTTTATGAGCAATGCACTCTTCCTCTGGCTGTTTAAAAAATTCCAGAGTATCCCAAACTATAAATCCTAATAAGACAGCTGATGTTTGTAGTTTAAAAAAGTCAGAGTTTCAAGAAATGTGTATTAGGGAATTAGAGTGAGCAGGAGCAAGAAGAATTATGTAATCTCACCGGAGGCCCCATAAAAATTTTGATAGGCGGACCCATGATCTTTAGTTATGCCCCTGTAGCAAGCAAAAACAAATGACCAGTTTATCCTTCTATGAAACCAATGGGCTTACAACTCCCTGTGCAGATCTGACAACTCCTCTGCTGCACTGAAAGCAATACTGTCAGCCCTGCCTAAATTCTCCCCTGCTGGACTACAGAACTTCACCTATCCTCACCTTCCAACTATCTCCAAAGGTGTGAATTGAGCCTTAGGATAACGGAGGAGGCTGCATGGACAATCCTGCTGCCAAAAATAAGAATACCAGCTGTGTAAAGTTGTCAGCCGTGCCTGAATTTTCCCCTGGTAGACTACCGAACCCCACTCATTCCCGCCCATCCAACTATCCCCAAAGGTGTCAATCCAACCTCAGGGTATTGGAGGAGGCCATATAGACTGACCTGCGATCAGGAAAAAGAATACCAGTTGGGCAAAGTCGTCAGCCCTGCCTGAATTCTCTCTTGCTGGACTACAGAACCCCAGCTATCAGCACCCCTCCAACTATACCCAAAGGTGTGAATTGAGCCTTGGGGTAATGCAGGAGGCAGCATGGTCTGTCCTGCTGCCAGGAAAACGAATACCAGCTGGGCAAAGTTGTCAACTCTGCCTGAATTCTCCCCTGTTGAACTACAGAACTCCACCTTTTAGCACCTCTACAACTATCCCCAAAGGTGTAATGCAGCCCCATGGTAATGGAGGAGGCCACATGGACTGTCATGCTATCAGGAAAATAAAACAGTTGGGCATAGTTGTCAGCTCTGCCTGATTTCTCTTCTGCTGGACTACAGAACTCCACTTATCAGCACACCTTCAACTATCTCCACAGGTGTGAATTAAGCCTTGGGGTAATGGAGGGTCCATCCTGCTTCCAGGAAAAAGAATATCAGCTGGGCAAAGTTGTCAGCCCTACCTGAGTACTCCCCTGCTAGACTACAGCATTCCACCTATTCATGCCCATACAACCATCCCTAAGGGTGTGAATCCAGCCTAACAGAAGAGTCCGCATGGATCTTCACGCTGCCAGAAAAAAGAACAGCAGTCGGACAAAGTTTTATAATCTGAGGGATCTTTTGAAGAACATGTTGTCTTGCACAGTCCCCTAGACCCAGATTGTTGGCCAAAAGAACCCGAGGCACCTTTAGTTGTTTTAAATCTGGTGTTCTGTCGAGAATGCCGACCCAGTCGAATTTGCCAACCTCACCTTCTGCGCTTGCGCACACGCTGGGATTAAGGAGGAAACAGCTATTTATTTACAAAGTATTTATTTACAATTGTTAATTGTGAACGTTCATAATATGCCATCCGAGGCAGTAAATGATGGATGGCATTTTATGCACATTCACAATTAGTATCGTAAGCAATTACATAATAATGTCATTGCTTACGATGTGAATTGTGAATCTGCATAAAATGCCATCCATCATTTACTGCCTCTGATGGCACATTATCAACGGTCACAATTAACAATTAGAAATGAATACTTAGTAAATAAACGAGGCGTTAACGAGGAAATCCCCATTTCCTCGTTAACGCCGTCTGTGAGCAAGTGCAGATGGTAAGGTTGGCAAAATTGACTGGGTCGGCATTCTCGACAGAACACCGCCACCAACCTTTATATTTCTTCACTCGATAACAGGACAGACAATGTAGCGATGCCCCTGGGTGTATTTATTTTTCAAACATAAGATGATAATCTCATTGTCAGTCCAAACAATCAGAATCTATCCTGCAGCTCTGACCTCCAGCGTGTCCAAACACTAGAGAGCTCACAAGAGATGATTTAAAGAATCGCACATAATTCCATTGTCAGTCACCTCGGGCCGTAACATCTCTTTCCTCGGCCTGATTGGTCTCACTTCTTAAAAGAAACAGTTCAGTTTAACTCGTCTCTAATTGCCGGCACTTGTGGATGTGAAATCCAATGCCTGTGCCTCAGGGTTAACCTGACCTACTACAGGGGAGAACTTAACCTGCTGGATGCAATAAACCTTTACAGACCTTGTAAATGGTAAATATATAAAAAACAAAATCAGCACAGTGTAAATCATATTTTGTATTATATATCAAAGGTTTAAAAATCTTTGCTTCTATTTATAGTTAAAGTGTTACTAAAATCAAAAGGTTTTTAAGCTTTTTCAAATGCTGATAAAATCAGTTACAGTGGATGCTGCTCCTCGATGTTTCAAAGTTTTAGGGGGTTATGCACAAAGCTGCCGAAGGCAGCCGACTGAATAACACAGCCGAAGTGAAGTGAGCCGAACAACGTTCAGTTATTCACTCCGGCTCAGTACGGCTGATTTCAGACGTACATCAGCTGAAATCAGCCGTACATCGGCTGCACTTCGGTTAGCGGAACATGCTCTGCCGGTCTGAAGGTGAGGCTGGAGCTCCCTCTAGTGGCGCATCTACAAATCTCTAAAGTCAAAACCATAACCAAAATATGGAGCTGGTGACAATGTAAAAGTCCAAAATATGACATCCTTTGCCTTTGAAGATGCCAGTTTGTTTCCCCTTGTTCATGTATTTCTCCAATTATGCAGATAAACCCTTGTGAGTGTAATCATCTCATTGTGTACCTTGGCTGGCCATGCGCAGTTTCATGGTCACCATACAGTCGTTCTGTAACTGGCTCATCTCTGGGCAGGAGATAGGAATTGTACTCTGCACCGTCATTCTGTATTCCCGTCCGTCTTCTGCAATGCTCAGAGCTTCAGGCTGCAACTGCAAGTAATAGAACAATACAAATATGAGCATGGGAGGCATTGTTAATAATTTGATGTAAAGAGACCCTGTCACCAGACCTTTCAACTTTAAACTTCCCATAAGATTATATGTGCATTTAATGCATTATATGCATGTTATTTGTAAAAGCTTCCCTTGTGCAGACACTCAAAACCCCTGAGACTGCTGCTGGGTGCCGCCATCTTGGATGTAATGTCAGCAGCCCCATAGTGACACTCTATAGCAGGGTTAGACAACCTCAGCACCCCGCCTGTGGCAAAATCACAAATCCCATCATGCCTCTTCTTCTGGAAGTCAGGGTCTTGCAATGCCTCATGGGACTTGTAGTGTCACAACAGCTGGCGTGCCAATATTGCCTACCCCTGGTCAGTGGCGTCACAAGGGGGGTGCGGCCTGCACCCGGGTGACACCAAAATGACAGTCATTTTAGTGTCACCCCTTCTAAAAAGTTGGGCACTCAGTCATGCACCAAGAGCCCGACAATCTGCCGGCGTCCATCCCAAGATGGCCGCCGGCAAGTATCAAAAAGATAACCACGCATGCGCAATGACATAATCGCACACGTGCACGGTGACGTCACGCGCATGCCCCTGGTCTATAGTCTTTAGTCCTCCCCCAGCAGCTACAAAAAAAGGTTATGTAGGAAGGCGAGGGGAGAGGTGGAGGAGCTGGAACAGCACAAATACTAATAAACTCCCAGAAGAGGGCTAGGAGGTACTGGCAGGGCCGGATTTACCATTTAGCAGAGTAGGCACGTGCCTACAGGCACCCTCCATAGAGGGGTGCCGTGCAGGTACTTACTCTGCCTAATTCCCAGTGTTGTGTCAAGATACAATAGGAAGAAGGGTACTTTCTGCTCAAAATGCACCCTCCTGCTCCAAGACTAGCGGCGCCTACAGGAAACGCCAGCCTCCGCAAACTCGGGGGAAGGACCACGGTGCTACATAGGGCAGCCTTACACGCCTCCGGGGTCCTCCTCTGCATGTGAAAAAGCCCCACGGGTCCCACAGCAGGTAAGGGCGCCGGCTCAGGCTAAACAGATTTCCATTCATGTCTACAGACGCCCAAAATGGAAATCTGGCCCTGGGTACTGGGTGTAAACCCTGGGTGAAAGCTGTGTGAATCTTGGATGAAAACATTTATAGGTGTTCAGATGTACACGTTGCTAAGCAGAGTTCTATAATTGGCTTTCAGTTCATCTTTTAGCTAATTCAAGTTGCAATTCCAGTTGATTGTTCCTAAGGAGGAATGGCGTTATAGTGCTGTAATTATTCAAGAACAAAGAGCGTTTTTTGGAATAGGAGTCATCCGGTAACAATCGGTCATAAAAGATCATTTGTACAATTCACCTTAATTCCAGCGAAGAATTCCTTGCTCTCCAGAAGAAGGCTGTGAACATCTGGTTGTTCTAAGTAGAAGCTGGAGACGCTGCAGTATATCTGGGGGATACAATAAAGGGCAGACACAAATAGTAATCAGCGCTCCCATTCTATATTATTTCACGGTGTGAAGACGCTACACACAAGACGGCTGCACTTTGTTATTTGGATTAGTGAAGAGTCAGTAATAAGGTCTTATGATACCAGATCTGTCTGCTGTAAAGTAAACAGATAATTATGGTACATAGTAATCACAGGGCCGACAGTTCCCAATGTTCTGAGATGTTCCTCACCAACCTTCTCTCCTCCAGATGAAAGGGAATCCATTCTCTGACTAAATCTGACTAACGTGCTTTACCAAGCCTTCTTGCATAAATGCTAGGTTTGTTTACAGCCTTGCTAAATAAAAGTGCAGGACAAACATTCTTGGACTATTCCCGGGTGTCCCTGTATATTTTTTTAAAGGGTGCAGCAAGGACCTAAAACACATTTTCATGCTCAGTTCTGCCTAAAATCCACCTTTCCCTTACTGTCAGTACCAGCATCCTACCCTGTGTACAAGACAGATGAGCCTCTATAGGAAATAAAAAGTAAAAAAAAGAAAAGATTCTTACTTGATCACCAAGTCTAACATTGATGCCATCTAGTTCAATGGTAGAGAATGACTGTACAACGGCATCCTGCCTCAGCTCCTCCTTCACCCCGTTGGTGGACAGTCTGGACCATCGAATGATAAAGCCTAGGGAGCTGTTTGTGGTTGGGGGATCAAAGAAGCATTTCAGATAGACAGTGGAGCCTACCATCTCCACCACAATTTCCGGGGGGCTCGGTGACTCAGGGAGTAAACCGTGTGAACTCGATCCTCCTGGTAAAAAAAAAACAAAAAATGTGATTTAATAAAATCTATAAAGTTTGGTTGAGATACTTGATTAAATGAAAAAAAAAGTCAAAAATTGAATTTGGTACAGAAATGCCAAAGCCCAATAAAGCAGGTCAGAAGGTGATCACCTGCAGGCCAAATGCATCAACTGAAGGTCAAATGCAGGTCATGAGGTCAACCGCAAGTCAAATGCAGATCAGGAAGTCAACTGCAAGTCAAATGTAGGTCAGAAGAAGGTCAGAGGGAGGTCAACTGCAGGTCAGAAGGGCGTCAACTGCAGGTCAGAAGTAGGTCAACTGCAGGTCAGAAGAAGGTCAAATTCAGGCCAAAAAGAGGTCAAATGCAGGTCCAATAAAAGGAATGATCTCAGTAGCTTCTCAACCTAAAGTTAAACAGATGCCATAGATACAAACCATCAACACAGGCACTAAGAGTGACAGAGAACATTTTAGTGTGACGTACATCAGAATACCATGTGTGTTATAACAATTAATCACACTTACTTGTGCAGACACCGTCAACTTCTATCTCACCATCTTCACACTGCGACTGAGACTCTGAAACCACTGGAACACAAATCCCAAGTCAATCAAGTAATAACCGTTCTCACTCCAGCGCATTATACGATCTGGGCCATCATTACTATCAGACACTCCGAAGCTTTGTCATTGGTGGTTTGGACAATCTTGTTGACGCTCAGCATGTGTAGCCATCAGTGTATGGCCTCCACTAGCACATTCAGGGGGTAGTGTTTACAATAGGGGCACCAAGATTCAGATTTACAGAGACACATTAGCCCAACCTCACTTTTTAGGTAAAAACCTTTCAGCTGTAGAGAATAATAAGAGCTTGCACATGTCTTCAATGGTTTTTCCTAGTGGTGACCCATGTAACTTTAGTAGGAATCTGACCAGTACCTACCTGGTCCTTGTACCTACCACCTCCTACTGCCTTCTCCCCCAGCTCCTGCCCACTCCTATGCCCCCTGCTCTGGCCCCCTGCTCCTGCTACTTGGGCAGAAGTCTGCACAGCTATTTGTTAGCAAACCTTAGGATTCCAGACAAGATCAGAGATTTGTTATCTGTGTACCCATCAAGCAGAAGTACCAGTCTGGTGTGGAGAAACTATGTTCCTTGTTATCTGCAACAACGCACTACCAGCTGTACTGTCATGCAATAAAAGAAACTAAATTCTGGAATCATGGCCAGTGCTGTCCCTATAGCTGTGTTTTCCCCATTACTGACTTACAATGTGTCTCTGTGTAGAGGTGTTCATGATGGTAGAGGCAGGGCTTTGCTTCCTCATGTCAGAACCTCCAGCAAGGAGAACAGTGAGCAGCACAGTAGTGATATCACGTGATCCTAATCTAAATCTCATGAGATTAGCAGTCAGAGGCAGCAGTGCCTTAGATCTCACACTGAAGATATACAGCTAAGAGGCTATAGGTAGTTGCATAGGTACCCTCACATATCAGGAAGAGCACTGCTAATTTTCAGAAGGAATTCCAGACAAAGGTAGAAATTTCATTGTACTGCTTTGACACAATTAACATTTCTAGATGTTCCCTATAACATTGTAAATCAGTGGTGCCCATTAAGTCGATCGCGATCTACCAGTCGATCGCAAAGCGAACACTGGTAGATCGCGATCGGCTCACTGACCAGTGTCCTGTCATCCCCCGGTGCTTGTGTGGCTGAATTTGTCATATGCTGCAGATGGGAAGGGGCGGGACATCACTCCCAGTCTGCACATTTGGCCACACGAGCACCGAGGTAGGATAGGACACCGCACCTGAGAGGAGACGCGGGAAGCTGCTGGAGTGCAGGTAAGAAAAGACAGCCAGAAGAGAGCAGACTGAGAAGAGAGACCGCAGAGAGAAGAGAAAGCAGAGAGAAGAGAGACTGCACAGAGACTGCAGAGAGAGAAGAGACAGCAGAGAGAAGAGACAGCAGAGAGAAGAGAAAGCAGAGAGAAAAGAGACTGCAGAGAGAGAAGAGACCTCAGAGAGAGAAGAGACTGCAGAGAGAGACGAGAGAGAGCTAGGACAGAGAGAGAAGAGACAGCCAAGAGAGAGGGCCGGTTCACACCACAAAGTCTGAGTTACTGAGTGTTCGTCCTCTGGAACGCACTGGAAGGCAAGCCGGCCAGCTCCCTGCGTTCAGGGGTGGGAGGGGGCGAGACGGTGCATTGAAGTCAATGGTGCTTGCAGTATTTTTGCAAATCGCACTGGACCGGAACGCATCCACTAATGTGCCTGCGTTCTGGGTAATCGGACGGGGGGCGTGGCAGCGGTGCCATTGACTTCAATGCACCACTACGAACAAAGGGAGCTGGCCGGCTTGCGTTCCAGAGGCCAAACTCTCTGGAACGCAGACTTTGTGGTGTGAACCGGTCCAGAGAGAGACAGCAGAGAGAGAGAGAGAGAGAGAGAGAGAGGCAGTAGTCCCAGTAGCGATTTTAATGCGCTTGTTTTCTAAATAAAGGTGTTTTTTCGCTGGTAGATCTCATTGAGCTCATCATTTGAAAAGTAGATCTCCAGGTGAAAAATTGTAGGCACCCCTGTTGTAAATAATCACTGCCACAGCATAATTGTAAAGCTACTTATGTGAATGAGCCCTAATTGGGCAATGCAAAATTTAATGATAAAAACGGAGGAACAGATTTGATTTCCCTGTCAGATAAGATGCATTCTTAAAAGTTGCTGAACTATGCACACTGCACACCTTCTTCAATGAGCAAGCCTGCCGCATGATATCACATAAGATATTATATATACTGTATATAAATACTGTATATACTGAAGCATCCACTTACCTTCAGCACAGTAGCCCATACATCCTTGAGTCGACTGCAACAAATACACAAAGAAATCGCCGCAGTTCCTGACGGTCACCGGGATTCGGAACAAACAACAGTCCTTGGTGCTGCTAAAGAGGAACTGCCAAGTGGCGCAGGCGGTCAGCTGGCGGATATCCCCAGGAGGAGGGAGGGACTCTGACTCCCGCAGTGACAACCACACAGGGGCCTGGGTGCCACAATGGTTCATCTGTTGGGTGACACAGAGTATCAGGAGATCAGATACAAATATATCCCTTCATTCACAGTACAGAGAAGGAAGGACTCCGTAATGATATCATGTAATCAAAAACTTCTCATAAATCCACAGCACACATTGCCAAATAACACGTTTTGGGTAATAAAAAAAAAGACAGCTGCCTTACCCTGAATAAAACATGCTGTTCTGAGCTCCACCATATCACCTCCTAGACAAAGGAGTCTCTGGCTACCAGATGGTTTCTGTCTACCAGATGCATTGTGGGTGACATCATTAGGAGGTATAGATGGAGTTCTGTAGTATCAGCAGGCAGGGCTGACAACGCTGCGTGGGATTTCAGTGCAGCAGAGGCAATGTGCTGTCAGCCCATACAGGAAGTTTGTAGAAATTGGAGCTCACTGGATTTCTGGCAGGTCAACAGGTATTTTTCTGTACTTGCAGAATTTTAGAGGCGTACAACATGTGCAAAACTGCATGTATTACAAAGATAAACTGAATATGTTTTCTTTAAGATTATAAATTAGCTTAGGTTTGGTCCGGACCCAGTCTGAATCTGAGCTCCTCCCAATCTGGAAGAAGCTCAATGTCATTGACATAATACACTCCAAAGACATGCTAGTAGGTTACTTGGCTCCTGTCTAAATCGGCCCTGGTATGTTTGCATGTGAGAAAGGGACATTAGATTGTAAGCTCCTTGAGGGCAGAGACTGATATGAATGTGCACTGTGTAGAGCGCTGTGTAAATTGTCTGCTCTATATAAATACCTGTAATAAAAAAAAAAAGAATAAATATGGCTACATGGCTATATTAGATAAGCATCCCACCCCTTGTTTATGTTCAGCTATGGGGTAGGGAATTCCTTGATTCACAGCAGATTGGGCAAGAGGCCCATGTAGTTTCTGTATTACGGAAGCAGTCCAAAGCTGAGCTCATCCCTATTTGAGACCTTCATGAATATGCCTACAGTGTAGCCAAAGTAATAAAGAGTAAAAAAAACTAAATAAAAACATGGATTGTACCCCAAATGACAGAAAACAAAAACGAAGGATAAAAGATAAACAGAAATAAGAGCAGCCCTTCTCAACCAGGGTTCTGTTGAACCATAGTATTACTCTAGAACAGCCATTCTCAACTACGGTCCAGTAGAACCATAGGTTTCCCCCAGAGCAGTCATTCTCAACAAGGGTTCTGTGGAACCATATCATTCCTCCAGAGCAGCCATTCTCAACAAGGGTTCTGTGGAACCATAGCTTTTTAATAAACCAGTTATTCACAACCGGGGTTCCGTGGAACCAAAGGGTTCCTTCAGAGCAGCCAGTCTAAACTAGGGTTCTTTGGAACCTTATGGTTCCCTCAGAGGTTTCTAGGGGTACCTTAAGCTGATCTGATGGTGCCTGTAAAGTTCCAGGGCCAATGTCACTTGGTGTAGCCCATGTAATGACACTGATTATTATCAATGAAGCTGTCTGCAAGGGTGTTAATCTGACCACTGACCAGCAATGTAAGAGTAGCATTCAGCTTGCTGACCTCCAAAGCATGGGGGGCTTTCCCCCTATTGACTACCACTGTTAGGAGGGGCATTCTTCCCACTAACCACTCTCACTGACCATAATCCAAGGAATTTTCTTTGTCTCTGACCCCCAATGAAATTGTGCTCTCATTGGCCATAGATGTAGGGGGACACCTCTCTCACTGTCTACAATGGAAGGGGACCATTTTTCCACTGACCACCAATGTAAGGGAGTGTGTCTGTGTTTCTTTTTTGGACATTATTAATAGATTTTACATTTACAGGTCTATTCACTAAAGGGTGAAGAGTTTGGAGAAGGCAGAAGAAGTGAACAATCTAGGACAACATAGCTGATTTGGAAAATGTCTCCAAGTCCATTTCTAGTATATGTTGGTATGTTGTCCTAGATTGTTCACTTCTCCAAACCCTTCAACCTTGTAAATTTAGTGGTTGCTACTGGAAATTATTTTACCATAATAAAGTATTTTGAAGTGTTATGAAATGGTGTAGCGATGCCACATTATTTATACTTTTAGTTATTGTTATATCTATAACTTGCTAATCTTGCTAATGTACTGGGAGCTTCTTTGACACAACTCATTACTCAACACAGCAATAACCAGTGACCACTGAACACCTGGATCTCATTATTTCTCACACGTTCCATAGGCTGATCACCCAGGAGGTGTTGAAGTTCTGGTTCTAGAGAGGCATGAACTACTTGTAGGGTCAGTACTTTACTACACCCAGCTGACACTGTACATGATTGATGAAATTTACATTTTCCTATAGACCAGGCAATTTATCATGCCAGGCGGTGTCAATTTACACCATGTACCTTGTGCTCAGACATGGTCATATTAATTATTCGAGAAGCCTTCAGCTGCCAACAAGGTCATATATACAATGGGTTCTATAATACACTGAAAGTGGCTCTTTTGTTAATATTTTTTTAGTTCAAAGCATATATTAAAAACATTCTTTATAGGGGAACCCTTCACATCAGAATGCACAGATGTGAATGGGTCCAGAGGGAGCCTGCTGCTGGGTGAAAGGCTGAGTGCTGAAAGAACACTAAAAAGGTATAAGCTGCCTTTTTGTGTTGGGGAACTCATTAGGGGGCTCCTTGTAAGTCAGTAATTGGCCTGAGTTTAGCTAGTAGCTTGGACGAGCAGATGTTCTCTTTGTTTTATGCTCTAGACTTGCTGTCCAAAGTCCTCCTGCAATGAAACTGTGTTTGCTGCCTTGTTTAATAAAAATGCAGGTAAAACCTGCAAGTTTATTTCATGTTAAATATATACGGTATATATCTCTATACATATATATATATATATCTATATATATATCCTGGAGGAAGCAGAGTCCAAAGTAATGATACGATGGAGGTGGCCATTGGTGGAGGAGATTATGTAAATAAACAGATAACACAAATTATGTTCCTTTTTACTTTTAAAGGTTACTTGGTCATGTGATCTTCAGTGAAGAGGGGGCTCAGAGCTCATACCCTTACCAAGTGCCTCGAGCAGACTTTTAGTGGGCGGCAGTGAAGGAACCCAGAGCAGCATTTTCTCTAGATAGGTTTATCAGCTCTTCTTATCTCTAAAAAGACTAATTTTGTTAATTTCAGTTTTTGGTAAGGTCTTAAAGATTAAGCCATGTATTTCCCAGAGATCCCAGTTAAAGGATCTGACTACTGGAGTTCTAAAGTTTGCATTTCTGTAGTGGCAACGAGGAGTTTTTATTTTATATTATGGAGAATGGATAATGACAAGTAAGTACACCAAAATATAGGTTTGAACGCTCAAGACCTCTAGGTGGATGGAATTAACCATGGACTATGGTGGAGTCTCACCATTAATCAATCCACCAGGCTCAACCTATTCCTATGCTCCTGGTCTCCATGTAGTGATGACAATGCCATGTGAATGCCAGTGTAGGTTTGAACACCTAAGACCTCCAGGTGGATGGAATTAACCAAGTACTATAGGGGGAAGATCTCACCATTAATAAATCCACAAGGCTCAACCTATAAAGAAGCTCCTTGGCTCCATCTAATAGTGACAATGCCATGTGAATGCCAACGTATGTTGGGGTAGATGATTTATAAATCACCCCTCTAGTGTCTTTGCAGTGAACCTTTAAATGTAAAATAATGTATGCAGCATAGACTGGTATATAGCTGTGCAGCACACAACCTCTATGTTGAATGGACATCTCATTATAAAACGTAGGTCTGTGGGCGGGCACTACTGACAGTTTTTAGAATTGTAATATCAGCTATTAATGCAGACGCTCTGCCCCTGTTTGTAGTCAAGATTAGTAGTACCAATACCTCCACGCACTTGGTTGGCATCTCAGCTGGCTTATCAAAGATCATAAATCGGTACCATCCAGCGGACAGGGAGTGGTCACATATCAGTTCGTGGATGGCAGACTTCTGAAGCTGGCTGGAGTCAAAGTCCAAACTTCTGTAGGGGTTCTGCAGGATCCTATGTCCAGTGGGTGAGCACTCCGGAGCTGCAGTGATAAATGATATATAATTAGACAATATATATTGATAATGTTTACTGTATGTTCAGTCAAAACTTTTACCAGGGACAAAACTTCTACTACAGACTGAAAGTAACCCAGTGTACCTAAGGCAGCCAAAAAAGGTCCTTCTCTGCTAAAACCTCATAGGATAGCGCTTTCTTCCCCAGGCTGACTGCCCCATCCATTTTATTATTTATTATTAGTATTGGATTATTATTGGATTTCAGTTCTTGCAATCATGGAGCATGGAGGCTCAGCATTACATGTGTGTGGGTCGGAATGCAAATGCAGTTTGTCTAGTAACGCCCATTCCTAAAGACTGACACCCAGCCATCAAGGCATTTTGCTATTTGCATAAATCCTCCCAAGAGCCAGCCCACTGCTTACATCAGGGCTGACGGCTCTTGAGAGGAGTACTAAGACAGGCTGCTGTGATATTTTCAGGAAGCTATGTACAGCCCCCTGCCGCCCCCTTTCCCCCCAGCCATGATCTGCCTGCATTGTATAGAGAAGCATAGAACCTAGTGATGATTTCACGGGGTCTAAAATAAGGAATGTGATAAAAATGGAAAGTTTTCATTTAAAAATTTCAATAGCATGTTGATGAGGGGGGTAAAGGAGGAACCAAAACATACAAAATGTGGGCAAAATAAACTTCAGCTTTAAAAGGTTCACTATTTTATTAAAACCCTACAGTCCCCTTTCTTGGACCCTTTACATAGGATAACCTGTTAGCTGACTCCCCAATCCAGGTTCTTACTTACCCCCTCTGACTTTGACAGCCTCACTGGCCGGGGTTTGTAGACACTGTGGGAGGCCCCTACTGAGGAAGTGGGAGATACTGTACGTAGGCCCCTGGTGGGGAAATGGTTAGCTTAGCCCAGGTAAGAGGGGGTGCAGAGGCTGGGAGGGTTCTTTTCACTTAAAATAAGAAACTAGTCCTTTAATACATTTGTATTGTAGCGTTTAACCCCTAACTGGGTCATCACTAGTTGTCTAGGGGTTTTGGTCTTCAGCTGCCCCATTAGCGTTTAACCGCCCTCTTCTAGTGCCCACAAAGCTGATATCCACTCCAGTAATACAATGCTGAATAACTTTTATTAACTTCTTCATACTGAGGAGAGAGGGTGTAGGGATCCTAGACATCCAGGGTGTAACAGACATAGACTCCAGACTCACCAGACCTTTGCTAGCATCTCAGTGTAGATCCATTTGTGGTACAGCAAATACTAATTGGAGTAACAGATGAGCAGGAGTTGAGTACAGATCCTCATTAGGAGAGACGCCAGCCATGCTCCAGAGGTCCTTTATGTTCCATGCACCTCCAGCAGACATCAGCTTCCCTGGTTCTCCTCCTCAGATAACAACTCAGGCCTCCTCCATACTTGAGACCTAGGGAAACATTTCCCACACTCTAGCCTCTGCCCACACCCAGGCCTCAGGCCTAGCCTGAGGGCTAGCTGGACAGCACCCAGCCCTGTGCTAATCCATGGCTGGTCCCGAAATAGTCTGAGCACATGACAATTCCCTCCAGTATATGCACCCTATCCCAGCATGCACCACTGGTTGAGAGAAACCCATATTTGGCTTCTCTAGTGTACATACACTCACAGTGTCCCTCATTGGCTATCCTACAATATAGCTGAGCCACACTCCACCCAGGAAGTACAATCAATGCCAGGAATTAACCAGATAAATGCCACTATAATCCAGCCAGGCTGACTACAGCCCTGGCAATCACTAAATGTCTAGCAGCCACATCACAGAAGGTGATGGGGGCTACAGTATTTTGCACCATGTTACCTACAAATGCCTTTAGTTCAAGTACAAGCATGATCAAAGAGGAGCGCACCAGCTAGAGGAGCAAAGCTCTTGTTATAAGGGAAAGCCACGGAACAGCTCGCTAATAACAACATTCTGCCGTGATTTACACCGTAACATAGCACTACAAGTATTGAACACTTCAACATCAAAACGCCTGGAATCAGGGTTGTTACTTTTCAGATCTCTTTGATAACTACCTACGTTAAAAGAAAACATGTGGAAGAGACATCTGGATGGAGGTTTTAACGCTAATATGTAATATTACTGTAAAGCAGAACAGCCACTCTGCACAATAACATCCCTGTCCATGGAGACTAATGATCTGAATTTAATATTGTGTGTCCTGACTGCGAACAGTTCATGTGCTTATCTATGGATTATACAAGGGGGAGCGCAGATGAGGAGCTAGACCCCGAGCTTTCTCTAGTGGAATAGGCAGGGTCGGATTTCCCACAGGGAGGCAGGGGTGTGGAATCTCCCGACGCCCGGGACATGCTGTTCTGGGCGCCGGGTGGGTAGTTGTTTTCATACATTTAGCCCTGCTTTGGGCAAGCAGGGCTAAATGTAGAGCAGGGAAGCTGCTCGTTTGTTTACAAGTGATCTCAACTATGTCACCAAGATCACTTGTAATGAGACTGCAGGTTTTAAATAAGTAACAAATTATAAGATAAAAATGTTTTAACAAATATAAAAAATTAAAAAGTTAAAAAATTAAAAGAAAGTGATAAAAAAAGTAAAAAAACAAAATTAAAACTAACCCTGTTGCCTCCGCCATCTGGTTACCATTCTCCATTGGGGGCGGGGAGGGGGGCGCATTGAGGAACCTAGTCTTGGGGCAGCAGACAGAGTAAATCAGTAGCCCCACGTCAGATCCGAGCCACCGCCTTTCACATCAGAGTTCCCCCTTCACATCACAATCCCTCCTTCACATCAGAAGCCCTCTTCACTTCAGATGCCCCCTTCACATCAGAGTCCTCAGCCCCCCCTTTCACATCAGAATCCTACCATTACAAATGTTCAAGGCACCCCTGAGGAAACCAGAAGGCACCCTAGGATTCCAGGGCATCCTCATTGAGAAAGGCTGCCCTAGACAGTGAGAACTAAGCAGGATTTTTCAGTCCTGGAATTAGCAGAAAGAGCATCTAAAAAAGTGAACTGCAACCTATTTTTTTTTAAAGTGACATTAAAGTTAAAAAAAATCCCCCCATGCTGATTTAAGTATTTACCTTTCATGATGCCTCTTGATCCGATCATCTTCTTCTTTCCAGTAGTTTTCAGGAGTCCCTCCGGCGCTGGTGCCGGTCTCTGCTCCACCGCAGACTCCTGTCTCTTCCTGTCCCACGGTATCTGTCTGCGTGCACGCTGCCGGGCCGCCTGCATTGACTTACCCTGTGTCTCTCCTCTTCTCCCACCCAAAGATCTCTAGTGCGCATGAGCCCGCCCCATGATCCTTTGCGACCACCCGAGAATCTTCAGATCTTCAGACGGGAGTGCGCGGCGGAGACACTGGTAAGTTTTAACCTTTATGTTAACTTTTTTTTTATGTTTTTGCATATAACTAGCATGCCATAAAACACCAGAGTCTAATTATCCTTTAAGTTATGCTATGTGATTGGGAACATGTAACAAATGTAAAGGTGTTTTATCTGCAATAGTGGAAGCACACGTCAAGTAATGAACAACAGGACACTGATGGACTCTAAACTCACAGGTCCTGCACACAATCCTATTTCTTAATCCTTGGTGTGAAAGATCTTTGCCAGCAATTCAGTGTTTGTACAAGTAATGATATCTATGGATTATGACTCTAAATTAGATACAGTTAGCAGAGAATAATGGGTGAAGAGTTAAATTTAAGGTTGTGTTCACATTCACTTTTCTGAGTGTGTTGCAGGGACAAGTCAGGGGAGTCAGGGGAGGCAGGTGAGGCAGGTGAGGGGAGGCAGGTGAGGCAGAGCCTCACCTTGTATTATGGAGGAAAAAGCTGTCACCTTCAAGTCTGAAGCTGACAGCTTTTTCTCCATTCAGAGCGGCTTGTTACCGTCAGGAAGTTAACCTGTCATGGACAGAGCGCTGCCTGTTAATTACAGGCAGTGCTGCATCCAGCTTTTGACAGGTAGTTAGATTACGCAGCAGCGGGCTTCCCCACTGCTTGTGTAACCTAACATGGTGAGGCAAGAGCTGTCACAGCCTCTACTCTATGTTAGAGGTGTGAGCTCTGTGGATGGCTGGAACCAATGGCAAAGCACCATTGGTCCAAGCTGTCCAATCAAAAAAAGAAAAGAAAAAAACACTGAGGCCATCGATCTCGATGCCTCAGCAGTGACGAGCAAATGAGGGACAGGGAGGCTCCTCGATGTCTCCTCCCTCCCTCCTTCACACTAGCTTGGGGACCGGGTTGGGGGGCTGGCGGGACGTGCTGTTGGTGAGGCTGGGGAATGCCTCACCCGGAACTAAAGGTACCGCGCGTCACTGGTGTGTTGTGCCATCGTGCATTTCTTCTGCTCACTAATGTGCATTGTGTTGGGGCAGCCCATTCAAACATTTAGGCAAGCAATGCACTGAAATGTCTAAAAACAATGGACATTCATCATTTTTAGCAGGGCAACACGCCACAATGCATGGTAGTGGTTCTGAACACTTGAATCCCAACCCGTGTAAATAAACACGGAATTCCAGACACTGCGCAGATGTATAATGTTAACACGCGGTCAGAAACCATTTCTCATTAGAATATGTAATGAGACATTAACATTGTTAAATGTTCCAAACTGTGACGTTTTCCCCCCATGGGTTATAGTAAATCTGTCACAAACCTGGGCAGTTCAACGTGATCATATGATGGAAAAAAAGCAGAAGGTCCTGTTGTGAAATAATGAGAAGATCCAGAGATATGGTCAGAGGACCCAACATGCTAATAATGACTCCCTGTAAAAGTCAAGCTTGGCTCCACCCCTCCGACCCCTGAGCCTCCCTATTTATCCATCAGGTGGCTAGGGTAGTCTGACCAGATGTCCCTAAGCTGGGGACTTCATTTTTATAAACAGGGACACTTTTTTTCTGCGGACAGCCACCTGAAATTGGGGGTTGTCCCTGGATAAAAAAATGTCCATGGATGTGTCCCTGTTTTTAAAAAATAAGTCCCCAGCTTGGCTGCTTCGTGACTGTTACTCAAGCAGTGACAGCTGGATCCACCACCAGGTGTTCCAGTATCATTGATTGTTAGGATGCAGGTGACCAGGCCAAACATCATCATGCAATGCCATTGGATACTATGGTAACAGTGGCCAATGTCATGAGTTGGGTCTATGTGCCTGGGGGCCAATGCGGAGGAAGTTATTTTACCTTCCTGCAGAATCAGCTGGTCCCCTGAGCACAGGCCCTGATATTCCATTTTAGGGTTGCTCTTTTCCCTTTCAGGGCCCTATGAAGCAACCCTTGTGTGTGCTAGTCAGCTGTGTGTGTCTTCACAAACACAGACACAGCATGACAAGACCAGGGCCATGCCATCCCTATAATGAGGTAGCCTGAGGATGTTGCCTCAGACAGCATCTCTTTAGGCCGTTCTGCTGCAAAATGTTTGAGGTGTGCCTGCCGCCCCCTTTCCCAGGTTGCTACGAGCTGGGTGGGATGCCAGCCAGAGGGTCTCAGTCTGCTAAGAGCTGGGCAGGGAGATGCAGAGCCCTTACATATATCCTGTCCGGCTCTTAGTTCTTGGTGGCATCACTCCCCACCAGCAACCACCGATTGCATGCACCACCATGCCTCAGGCAGCACAAAGGCTAGGGACATCCCTAGGCAAGACACTCACTCCTCCCTTCCTCCCTTCTCCAAGCTAGTAGATGCACAGCTTCTGGAGACTGCCATCTCCCTTGTAATCTTGTACTGGACAGGAAGTTCAAGGAAGCCGAGCTGAGAGAGTCGGAGCTGTTTTGAAACATAATGACTGAAGGTACTTGGACAACAATTTTAAAAAAAATACTTTGCTGGGCAATTTATATTTGTCTGATCTGGATTCATTAATGAAATAAAAAATTGAGAGTTTAATACGACTTTAAAAAAGGATTTCAGTAGGGATGCACTGATACCGTTTTTTCAGTATCGAGTACAAGTACCAATATTTTTTTTTCGGTACTCGCCGAGTACCGGTGCCATGTGGCCAGATTATCAGGAAGTCGGGCGGCGGATCATGACCCGTCGCCCGGCTTCCTGATTGCCTGTGAAGTCGGTGTTCTAACGAAAGAACACCGGCTTCACTTGCCGAGGTTGTCTGTCTTCCTGACCGATCAGGAAGCTGGGAGGCAGGTTATGAGGTGCCATCTGGCTTCCTGATTGGTTAGGAAGTCAGGCTGCCTAGCAACAAGAGAAGCCAGCTTCCTAGCCAAATCAGGAATCAGGGCTGCGGATTATAACCCACCGCCTAGCTTCCTGATTGGAAGGAAGCCGGCTCTATGCTCCCTTGGCACTGCCGGTCAGAGTGAGTACTCGCCCAAATACTCGGTATCGGTGCATCCCTAGTTTTCACCCGCACGATAATCCCTATAGGTAGCACATGATATCCGTGCAGGGAATAGAGCCCTGTAGATTGTATGGCCCATGGCAACTTCCTACTGACTTTTGTTTTTGCTCAACATACACTTTGCTTCCCGGCAGGTTGAGCTGTGATTCCTAGTTGTCTGCACTGTGGAGGGATCTGCTCATCGTCATGTCAGGAATTTCAGCAAATGTCTTTTAGGAGGGAGCAGTATTAGGAGAGGCACAAAGGTTCAAGGCTATAAAAAAAAAAAAGTCTTGACAATGAAAACATTGTTTTTACATCGTCCTCAATATAGATTTTATATGTAGAACCCGATCAACAAGATGCAAAGATAAAACTTCCGTTAGGTTTTTATGTCAATAGAAAGTAGAGGAAAGGAACAGAAAAAACAACAACTTTATAGTGTAGTAAACCCTATACACATCTAAAGCTGAACTTCGACCTTCCCTTCAGTCTTATATCTGACCTCCGTCCTTCCCTTCAGTCTTATATATGACCTCCGTCCTTCCCTTCAGTCTTATATCTGGCCTCCCCCCTTCCCTTCAGTCTTATATCTGAACCCTGTCCTTCCCTTCAGTCTCCTATCTGACCTCTGGCCTTCCCTTCAGTCTTATATTTGATATCCTTCCTTCCCTTCAGTCTTCTATCTGATCTCTGTCCTTCCCTTCAGTCTTATATCTGACCTCCGTCCTTCCCTTCAGTCTTATATCTGAACCCTGTCCTTCCCTTCAGTCTTCTATCTGACCTCTGGCATTCCCTTCAGTCTTATATTTGATATCCGTCCTTCCCTTCTGTGTTATATCTTACCTCCGTCCTTCCCTTCAGTCTTATATCTGAACCCTGTCCTTCCCTTCAGTCTTCTATCTGACCTCTGGCCTTCCCTTCAGTCTTATATCTGACCTCCGTCCTTCCCTTCAGTCTTCTATCTGACCTCTGGCCTTCCCTTCAGTCTTATATCTGACCTCCGTCCTTCCCTTCAGTCTTATATCTGACCTCAGTCCTTCCCTTCAGTCTTATATCTGACCTCTGGCCTTCCCTTCAGTCTTATATCTGACCTCCGTCCTTAACTTCAGTCTTCTATCTGACCTCTGGCCTTCCCTTCAGTCTTATATCTGACCTCCGTCCTTCCCTTCAGTCTTGCACAGTTGTACCGGCTCCTCTCTTGGACTGAAATTGCTCTCTCACTGCACGCTGTGAGCTTCTCACAATGTGCAATAGGAGCTGCAGTAAGTCAGATAGATCCCGCCTTATTTCCTGGCTGGAAGACATCCAGAATCATATAGCACTTTTCTCCCCAGCCTGATCTTCCCTTGACTGCCCCTTGTTTTAATTGGATTTTAGTTCTTTCAATCATGGAGGCTCAGCATCCATCCAAAGTTTTGGGTTATATCTGCTCACGAGTGCGATGGGATTCTTTGAAGTTTGACTCCTTGTACCTTTTCATTTGTCATTTAAAGGGAATCTATGGTCAGAAACGAAAACGTATGTTCTTATGGGGAACATAAGTTCTACCCCACTTCTAATAACACATCAATCTCAAAATGTGTAAACTTACTTATTGAAGATGCCTATAGGAATAGGCACTCAGCCTGCCGCCTGAACTACAACTCCACATCTGAACAATGCAACATTATCATTGCTTTTTTACTAGTAAGCTTTGATTGTATTAACAGAAACATTTCCAGTATGTGTTCCTATTACAATGCCGATGTTATAACAGGAGAGGATGTGCTGGGACTTTACAACGCCTTACAGGCTGGTGTGTAAAATGAAAAGGAAACAGTGATACAAACAATGTATCTGCAAAGTGACGGCATCACAATCACTGGGGGCTACACGTACCGCATACAAAAAAAAGATGACAGCACTTTGGAAAGTAACTTTGCAGTAACAGTTGCAACATATAACATTTTCTCCCTGGGAGAGTGTCCATCAACCATATAATGAAGTATCCATCTGCAAAGGACACGAGAAGTGTAACCTGTATCCAATGGAACTCAGTCTGGGGCCTCACTGGGTTTAAATTCTGAAACTGGCTGAGGGCCACAAAGAAGTATTGAAGGGGCCAAAAACACCCACCAGACTAAAACGATTCAAATAAGGGAACCTGTCATTAGTTTTCATATTAAGTGCTTGATGTGTCCTTGTTAAAGTTAAAGTGACTTGAAGATTTATCTACAGAAACGTCTTTGTAAGCTTTATCTTTTGTTTAAAAAAATCTTGTTTTTATTAGTTTTGTGATGTATTACCTCTGAAAAGGAGTGATAATAGCAGGGATGCACCAATACCGCTTTTTCGGTATCGAGGACGAGTACCGACATATTTTTTTTGGCACTCACCGATACCAGAAGTCCTATCAAGGAAGCCAGGTGGCATGTAATGACTCGCCACCTGGCTTTCCGATTAGCAGGGTATCGGGAAATTCCGATATGGGAGGTATCAGAGCATTTTGGCCACTTTGAGTACTCGCCCAAATACTTGGTATCGGCACCTAGTTCCTAGTTAATAGCGTTAGAATCTGCATCCCTACAACCTAAACAGAACCTCGATGGAATTTAAAGGAGAACTATGAGGTGAGTGCTTTTCAATCCTCCTCATAGTTCTAGCAGACCTGTGACAATGAGACTGTCACAGGTCGGCTCAGTAGATCAGGAGGTGAGAGAACACATACCGGCGTTCGCTCACCTCTCGATCCTGTCATGGCTCTCTGCCGTGACAGGGGAGGGGCTGGATTCCCCCCTCCCAGCTCCGATCCGCCAGGGCTGACTGGCGGAACGGACTGGGGAAGGGGCGTGTACAGCTGGCTCTGCATCTAGATAGGCGGAGCCAGCTGTCAGTTACGCAGCTGGGCGGATCTAGACATAATTGTTGGGATCCGCTTCAGCTGCGGCGTCTCAGTATACCGCGAGCTACAGCTCGCGGTATACTGAGCTTAGGGTAACGGGAGGATGCTAGTTTGTGTCCTCCCGTTACCCTAAGGAGAACTATGGAGAAAAGCCTTAAACCCCATAGTTCTCCTTTAAGTGAGAGGCAAGCCTAACCAATACAAATACAAATTTATTTCCAATTCTCATAAGCTCCACCTAGTGGCCATAATGTGGTATTTTCGTGATATTACATTCAACTAGGGGAAAAAAATACTACTACTGTTACTTTTTGCTTCTATTAGCACAGAATAAATATACACAGAGTTTCGCAAGATGGATGGCTCTGTATATTTTTTTTTTAATAGACCCCTAACAGTTTTCAAACACTTACAACAGAAGAATTTGTTTCTCTGTAA